CCCCCCCCCCCGCCGGAATGCCGCGCCGCACTCCCCCCGCTACCCCTTACCAGGTGCCGCCCCAAGCATGTGCTTGGGTGCCTGGTGCCTGGAGCCGGCCCTGCAGGCACTTGCTTTCACCATCAGCCACAAGAAAACAGTTGTATTAGGACAAGGGTTTCCTCAAGATCATTCAGTTACCTTAAATGTAAACCCAGCTAGAAGTAGTCCAAAAGTTCAGATGTGTAGGTTCTACAATGACCACCAACCTCTCACTGGATGAAGAACTAAATGTTCGCATTGGAAAGGCTGCCACCACCTTTAGCAGACTAAGAGCATGGAGCAACTCAAAGCTTACCATCAAAACTAAAATGCTAGTGTACCAAGCTTGCATCCTTAGCACTCTCGTATGATCAAGAAACATGGACAACTTATGCACATCAGGAGAAAAGGTTAAATAGTTTCCACCTATGTTGTTTACGCCTCATACTCAACACCAAATGGCAGGATAAAGTCACCAACAGAGAGGTTCTTCGAAGGGCATTGTTACCAAGTGTCACAGCCCTGCTCATGCAAAGATGACTGCACTGGCTGGGCCATCTGAGTAGGTTTGCAGATGAACGCATACCCAGTGACATGCTATACGGGAAGCTATCAGAGGGAACAAGAACAACAGGGCGCCCCAAGCTTCACTATAAAGACACATGCAAGGGAGATATTAAGGAATTTGGAATTGATTCTGAGCAATGGGAAATCTTGGCAAGTGATCGTAACAAGTGGTGCCATCATCTCCATCAGGTATCAAAGTCAATGACAGGAGCCCCAGCCCAGAGCCCAAACCTCAACCCCCTGCCAGCCCGGTGCAAGTGAATGAGAGTGGGAGAGAGCGAGCGACGGAGGGCGGGGGGGGGAGTGAAGTGGGTGTGGCTTCGGGCAAGGGGCGGGATAGATCCTGGGTTGCACTTAAATTCAAAAAATGATTTTCTGTGTAAAAAGGTTTGAGACCACTGATCTACATCATAGTCTGCAATTCCCACTGTCTCTCACATACGAAAGGATGCCAACAACAGCAGAATTGATGCTAGAACTTCATATGAAATTTTAGTGGTCTATATGTCTATTATTTAGCAACATTGTTGTTGTTTTAAATATGTATATATTGCATAATGTGCTACCTACTACAACATTGTGATCGTTTCTTCTTTGGGAAAAATTATTCCTACCTTTTGATTCTCACTTATAAACAATCTTTTTGTTTGCTTGGTGGGTTTTGTTGTTGTTGTTGTTGTTGTTGTTTTCTGGTTTCAATGTCTCTTTTCTAAGAACTTGTATTTTCCTTAAATTCTTCGAAACAGTACTTATTTGTTTTCCAAAATTCAGATTGTTTTTCTTTTTTCTTCTTCGTTATACCAATCTCCGTTAGTTCAAATGTTTTCTTCATGTGTAATAATGATATAGTTGATACAGAAATGTATATTTAAAATAGAATACTTTAAGACCAGTTTCCTTACTCTAGGATTCAGCAACCAACAATACATTGCTCCTCCTGGAACTTCAGTACTCATGGCCCCAACTTCATTATAAACTTCATTTTAATAGCAAACAGCTAGTTACAACATACTCACCTTTTAGCTTTCAAGAATATCCTTGTAGAAAATAATGGCAGTTATTCTTCATAGATGTGAAACGTCAACTTCATGTTGTTGCACATAGTCTTCTTTTATCATGCCTTCCAGCTTGCTTACATTCATGATATCCATAGTATCCACTCATGTATGAACTTTGACATGCAGTTGCAGGACTTGTTCTAAATTTCCTTTAAGTATAGCTTTCATGAAATATAGAGTTTTATTTGAAAGCCACAAGAAATGTTATTAAGTATACCATATTGTGATCATATTTACATAACAGTCAAACAATGGCAACATTTATGAAAAAGAATCCTGGTGTGAAAAAAAATCAAGCATTTCCAGAACTAGTCATTTGTTATAATTGAGGATTGTGTGTATATTATGCAAGGTGATAAACAGATTATCCCATTAATTATTAAATTTTGCAAGACAGATTTTTAATCTCCTAAATAATAAGGGCTGTTGATTAATCGCAGTTAACTCACGCGATTAACTAAAAAAAATTAATTGCAGTTTTAATCGCACTCTTAAACAATAGAATACCAATTGAAATTTATTAAATATTTTGGATGTTTTTCTATATTTTTAAATATAGTGATTTCAATTACAACACAGAATACAAAGTGTACAGTGCTTACTTTATTTTTTATTACAAGTATTTACACTGTAAAAAAACAAATGGTGAAAAGAAAACTTTTATAACACTTTATCCTGACTTGCTGTACAATACTCCATTTTTAGGTTGTATACTCTTCTGGGTCTGACTGTCTTGCTTTGTGAGTCATTTTTTGGCAAATGAAAAAAAGATTAATAATATACACATTATAGTAATGAAGCTTTATACTTTTTTCTATACTTTATACTATATATTTATTCACTAATGCTTCACATTTTTGCTGCTATGTAGGTTTTTGCAGAAAATATATTTAATCTTTGCTCTGTATTATGAAATACCTTATGTTTAGAATGCTAGTATATTACTGTAGTACTGCTGTATGTTTTTTAATTTATGCATAGCAACATTTGAAAAAAGTACTGTGGAAAGTTAATTTAACTTTTGTCAAACTGTGCACTACTTCATACACAGCACATTATATAACTTTGTGAATATTTTCTTTAACAGGTTTTTACAGTTGTAACACAGAAATTATGCCTGGCATAAATAATTGGACTTCTGATATACAGGTAAAGTAGCTTTTAAAAACAAAAAGACCTTTTAAAACCAAGCTTGTATACAAATATACTGTTGACATTGCAATAGATTTTAGAGTAGTTGTACTCTGAAAAATGAATTAAAAATGACACCCCCTTACTCAATGTATTCATTCCTTTTGTTTAAACTGATATAACTGAGTTGTGACAAAAATAAGTTTTTATTGCTTTATACTCCCATTGCATTGCAGAATCAGTTCAGCCAAGAAAGTGTGAGCTGTATTGTGCATAGTCAACAGAATAGTTTTTAGAAGATCCACTTAGTTATACCTGTGCAATTCCGTTCAAGGTAAAGGGGTTGCATGGGTATAACTATGGGTATGCTTTGGCCCCCAGAACCTGGTTTGCTGTTGAGTGACATGGTAAGAACCTGGCTGGCTTTCAGAGGCAGTCCCAGATGAGGTTGAATACCTAAGCTTATGCTTAAAAAAAAAAAGTTGTATTTTTTGAGAGAGGCACCCTTTGTGTGTCTCTCACATGCTCTCACAAAATATTAATGCTAGATTATCTATATATATATACACACACACTCTTATAGGTGAGGCAAATAAAAAAATGCAACATTCCCTTTTTTCCACAGCACTACTTTGTCACTAATCATTTTATATATTGATATACAGTTCTTTATAAAGTTTCCTTTTGTTTGTACAATTTCATAAAGGACAAGTACGTTCCTCCAGTATCTGATCATAGACTGTCATTTTTGTTTCTTCCTCTTTCTCTATTCACCATGACCACTAGTGCTAATTAATGTCTTTAATCAATTGCTTTGTTCCCACTATTGCAACATATAGATTTAAAATTGAGGAAGATAAAGATATAAACTTTTATGTTTCTGCTTCAGATGTTCACCTCAGTAAGAGTATCCAGATTAAGCAACATTAACCTGACAAATCAAACACTTAACAAGAACTTTAATGATCTCTGTGAGAATCTGCTTAAGGTAAGAGTCCTAGTTTCCAGATGTATGTATTTATTTAAATAGAGGTAACATGGAATTTAGGTTACGTTGCAAACAACACTTTGTATTTTCTTTAGGCTTACCTTTCAAAATTATAGACTTGTTTTAGGTTGTATCTATAATTAGTTCCTGAGCAGTTCTACAAATATTTAAAATGCTGGATATGATGTTAATAGCTCCTGAGACACATCAAATCAGAATAAAATCTTTGACTCAGCATGTTATAAAAATAACAATATTAAGCTATTGGACAGAGCAGACAACATACCATAAACCTTTAAACCTCAAGTGAAATCACTAATTGAGTCTCAAATAAGAGAAAATAATAGTTTTATTAGGGTAATTATTTTTACTGCATAAAAGAAATCTAGACTTTTGTCTTTCCAGAATAAACCCGATATAGAATTAACATTTTTTTTAGAATAACACAAATAATGTATTGTATTCAACAGAGTCTATATTTTAAGCTACGATCTATGATTCCCTGCTGCCTTTGTCACGTAAATTTTACAGTGGCTCTTCCAGAGGATGAAGTAATTCAGGTAACTAATTTTGTTCATTTGTTATTAATGCCACTTTGTTTTCTGATTACATTAGATCTTGCAAAATAAACTAGATTAGATTGAGTCACTAGTATGCTGAAGGAGCTTTAATGTGCCACAAGATTTGGTGTTCATTCAATTGTTCACAGTCTCCCTCTGATTATATGAAACAGCATCACAGCACGTTATTGTGCTGATGGAATGCCATCTTTCCAATGAAATATGAAATAGAAGGTCCTGACTAGTTGCCTTTAAAGCTGCTCTATGGCACATACAATAAAAATATGGCTGCTTAATTCATCATCCTTTACAAATTCTAAATTTGATAACTTCGTTTTGGCTACCTAATTTTTTCTTGCAGTTTCAAGAGGATGCAGTATATTTCTTCACTTTTAATACATGGTGTGTTTTGTTGGCGTAAGTTATTAAGCAGCTCCTCTGTTTTCAACAAGAGTGTGGCTTCATCTCTGTGGCCAGGGAACAAATTCCTTTATATTTCTTACCTACCTCACAAAGTACAGTGAGACTTAACTCATATTTATAAGATGCTGTGCAATCCTCTGATGAAAGGCAAAGAATTGATGAAAATACAAAGTCCTAATTATATTTTGGTTTTGTTGACACACTACTTTTTTTTTTTTTTAAACTTTGGCTCAAACATGTTCGGGATCTTTTGACAACAGATCCTAGCCAATATCAGCTCTTAGACCATCTCTGCCATGGAAGGTTGTTTCATATAATATCTGCTGTGTTTCTTTATTCTAGCAATGACTGCCATTTTGTTAGCTTCTAATTGCTATGATTAAGGGTCTTAAACATTGTTATTTATATAGAACATTGCCATTAATGGGTTATGGCATTTCATAGGTATCTCTGCTCGCAAGACAGCACCTTGAATATAGTTAATAAAAATGTAAGTGCTGCTAAAAAACAAACAACTTATTTCTACTCCCAATAAGGTGCATGAAGTAAATTTTCCCCATAGTAGAATGTTAATTTTGGCAAAGCTTTTGGAAGATTGTACAAGAGAGATTTTATACTAACAATATGCACTGTATCTTTTGATTGCAGATCACAGTCACAGCGGTTGCAATAACATTTGACAAAAACCAAGCTTTACAAACCAGTAAAGTCCCTGCAGAAAAAACATTGCAAAGGGGTAAGCATTTTGAGGGAGGTGAAATTATCAATTCTTGATAATCATTTGTATAGGAAAGATGTTTACTGTGTAGTCGATGATATCACTTTTAGTTTATCAATTCAACCACACATTTCTTCACTAGAGAACTCTCTCTAGTCAACAGACCTGCAACTATATGAAAGAAATTCTTAGCCTTATTCCATGTTCCAGTTTTTTAAACAAACTTTTAAATGGATTCTAAATCAGTGGTCTACTCATGCATTTTTCTGCTGTCACCATGCTTTGGAAAAAAAGGACGTGTTTATCATGGAATGCTTGTGCTTACTCTTATAAATTGCAAAATCTTTTCACAAGATTTTAGGAAATTCATTATTCATAATGCTTAGAAAACTAGGCTAACTGACTTTTTGGAACTCAATGAAGTGTAAAACATTCTGAAGGGAGTGGAGAAGATTTATGCAATTTATGTATGAGCTTGCTAAAGGAGCATGCATGCTAAACTGAAGAAGAATGCATGTTGTAAAGAAATTTAGGTAGACTTTATTTAAACTATTAATGATGGAAGTTGATAATGGGCTACAGAGCAATGGACCTCGAGTTCACTGGTTTAAATCTAGACCAGTTCAATAGTAATTGAAAATAGATCAGTTCAATAGCCTATATGAATTAAACTGATAATTTCAGTCTGGTTCCTGGCACTGAAGTGTTAAGTTCAGGTCACAATTGATATCCTCTCTGCAAAAATGGACGGAGCTTGGAGGTTTGAATTCTTTTCTCACCTCTAGAAATGGCCCTTCGAAGCTAAGTTTGAAAGCGTTCAAATCATTAACTGGCAGGTTGAGGGGGCTTTCTTCGCCTCTGTGTTATTTATCTTGTGTGGATAGTGAACTTAAGTGTCAAGGCCTATGCAACTTCTTTCACTAGCACTAAATAGATAGAAGAACCAGGTATCAATAGGAATTTTTAATTAGGTAAAATATAAAAAAAAAACTACTGTTGGATACCATTAACTCAGTTAAGGCAGACCTAAAACAGTTGGGTTGGTTTTCCTAAAATATTCATATTTAAGTCAAGCCCTATTGAGTGGAATTCAGATTCTGTCCAAGTAGTTTTGCAGCTGTATTTATTAGCAAACGTCTAATTGCTTATCTGCACTCAAAGTCCATCACTATGTATTTATGTTGAATAAATGTGTTCTAGTCAGTCCTTACTAAATTAAATCTGTAGTGCTTATTTATATTGGCAAGATTTGGGGTTTCTGGTTAAATATCTGTTTAATGTATGTGTGTATTTCTTCTTTGTTGAAGCCTCTACAGACAATGAAGAGCAGCTACAATTTCCATTGGAACTTTGCTCTGATCCTCTTGTTTCTCAACCATTCTCACCAGCTAAAGGTTGGTTAAATGAAAAGAAAAAAATAACTCTATATGGTGTTCCACTCACTCACTCCCTCATTGCTGGTGGAGTGTATTCTCTTGAAAGCAGCTATGTACCATGCTTTGACATTCTTTGCTACCTCAGATGTAATGAAATGCTCTGCCCTTCAGTCAGATTTCTCAAGCATTAGATAAGAAGAATTGGTTAGCACACTTCTGTCCCCTTCCTTTGTCCTCTCACTTGTTACTTAACAAGAATTTTCCACCTTCTGCTCCATTTACTGTATTTAAATCATCATAAGTGGAACCTTTGTCCCTGTGCAGCATTTAGTTTATTGGACTTCTGTCGCCCTGTCCCGTGCTGCCTTGTTTCTTCAAGTAGCACATGTAAAATGACTGCCCACAATACCAGACTCAGAAATTCAAATAACGTTAATAAAATGCATCTCTTAGTTTATTCGTGGCAAGAATGTTTTATCTTGTGAACTTTGACTGTTGGGCTGAGAAAAACGGCTTATGATTTTCCTTGAACAATTTTTTAAATGAAGAGTGTTCATTACTTAAGAGGGAGCAAGTGAAAGGAAACTTAAGTTTCCCTGACAAATGGCTATTATATTGCTTGTTTGGTGGTTCTTTCCAGTGTTAAACAGCTATTGCATTCGACTCCAAAGGTAGCTGCATTTCAACAGTGTATGAAGTGTTTCCTGTATAAGTGTGTTAAAGGGCCAGATTGTCAGCTCCTGTAAATCAGTTCCATTTACTTACTTATGTATAGTAGCTCAGACTCTGGCCCAAATTGTTTTGGAATGAAATAAGTTTAATAAACAAAGGAGATCATTGTTTATTATGAACATTTCTTTTTGAATGGTTAGCTCCCTCTTCTACCCGTTGTATAACGTCACATATGCTATAAAAGAGGTTGTTTCACCATTGTTCAGATTTTTCAAGAGGTCAATACAGTTAGTTTAGAACAGTATCCTCTTCTGGTTTTTTTTTAATTTTTTGGTTCTTTTCTGCTATGATCAGTTTACCTTTTTTATTACTGCCTGTAAAAGGAAAGGTTGGAAAAACTGGGCATGTTTAATCTAGAGAAGAAAAGGTAGGAAGGAGACATCAGCCTTTGAGTATGTGAAAGATTGATATAAAGAGGATGTTGATCACTTGTTCTCCATGTCCACCAAGGTTAGGAAAAGAAGTAATTGGCTAAGTTTACAGTAAGAGAGATTCAGGTTAGATATTAAGAAAATTTTTCTAACCATAAGGAAAATGTAATGGTGGGCACTCACCCTTGGAGCGCCCCCCTGGTGGCTCATGTAGAACCACAATTGTCACTGCCTCAGTTCCCCGTAGCGTGCTTTCTGTAAATGAAGTGAGGCATATACACCTCTACCCCGATATAATGCGACCCGATATAACAAGAATATAGTTCTTTAACTAGTTAATTGCCGCCCAGCTAGTTAAGGAATTATCTCTCCCCAGGTGGATCTGGGATTGCTCATTCTCCTAATGGAGTCCACAGTTAAGATGGATGCTTGACCTTAAGGGCCATCCCCCATGATAGATAGATAAGCACTGGAACAGGTTATCTGGAGAAGTTGAGGAATTCCTGTCATTAGACGTTTTTAAGAACAGGCTAGACACACAACTATCAGGGATGGTCTTGATATACTTAATCCTACCTCAGTGTAGGGGGATGGACTAAATGACCTCTTGAGGTCCTTTCTCCCTTACATTTCTGTGACTCTGTGGCCTGGTCCACAGTAACCCCCCACTTCGAACTAAGGTACGCAAATTCAGCTACGTTAATAACGTAGCTGAATTCGAAGTACCTTAGTTTGAACTTACCGCGGGTCCAGACGCGGCAGGCAGGCTCCCCCGTCGATGCCGCGTACTCCTCTTGCCGAGCTGGAGTACCAACATCGATGGCGAGCACTTCCGGGATCGATCCCAGAAGATCGATTGCTTACCTCCGGGTCCGGAGGTAAGTGTAGACCTATCCTGTGAAAGGTCTGGTATACATATACAAATTCTATGCAAAACAGAGATACTTCCCTTTATTTTAAGCTCCACATGGATATTTCAGAGTTATCTTCTTTTGTTTTACTAAGGCATTGGGTATTATGTAGCCTTCCATGTATTCTGGTGTCCATCAGTGAGTGCCCTAGATCTCTCATGCCTTTGAGAGTCAGTGCTTTAACAGTTTAGCCAGTTATACAGGAAGAACAGTTGAAAACGCTGGCATAACCATTTCGACCTCTGGGTTTTTTTCCCTTTATCCCTCTTTCCCCAACTGTAATCACAGTGAAGGGAGAGGTGAAACCTTCGTCATTTGTGTGGCAGCAGGAGACCATTCTCCAAAGATTACATTCAATTTTTTGGTAACTGGATCTCTTAATTCTCCATTAAATTAAGCGTGATGGCATCCCTGATGTGGCACTTTCTTGGTTTCCATTATTTTATTACACAAACTAGCCTTCTTTCAATATGGATTTCAGTGTTAACTCACTGTAGTATTAGTGAGTCTTCAGTATCTTTTCACTCTATTAATACTACAACACTTATTTGCATACTAGCCACTGACCAGTAGAGGGTAGTCTGTTCATATGTAAGTAAATCACCTGCGTCAATGTTCTTCACATTTTGTCATATTGTACAAGTACACTGTTCTGGAATCTTTTAACTAGACAGTTATTTAATCTCTTTTGACTGTTTACCTATAGGCACCAGCGTCTCAATGTAATTATATAACTATCTCAAAAGTAAGTTAGCTACTCTGATGATAATCCCCCATATTTTACTTACTGTTCTGTAAGATTATCATTTGCTTTAATGGACTGGCACAGAATCTTTTGGTATATTAAGCACTAATGAAAAAAGAGTGCTTTTATCATCCCTGCAACAGAAGTCTGCAAAGACTTATATTCACATAATAGCCTGCAGACTTTTATATATTATCTCATTTTAAAGCTTTCATAATACACTTTATGGCTTCAGTTTGTTGTTACTACTACTACTACCACCACCACCACCACCGTACATTAAAGGGACACACAGTCAACTTGATTTAGTGTTGGTAAAGTAAAACCTAAGATTAGTATAACTGAAAAGTTAATGCAAAGAAAATGTTTCTCTCTTTTTCACTTTTAAATAGTACATTTGGTGGCATTTTTTTGTATATCTGATTTCATAGTTTTGTTGGTGAGTTGTTTGTCCTATCAGTTAAGCTGCAACACTGCTAACAACTCTAGCGAGCAGTGAGTATTTTTTTGTAGACAAGGCTATCGTGGCTCCATGTGATGCTGTGGTTGCTATTTCCGTTAGCCATTCTGAGTAGCCAGAGACCAGTGATAATCCGTTTAGCTATGATCAGTTTTAAAAGTACTCTGTTATAACTGACTGGTTTTTAACAGATTGGAAATGCAGGTTTCATAGGAGAGACCTGGATGACTTTTGTAAAACTGTGGTGAGACTGTCAGATGAAAGTACAATAGTTTTGTTGTTTGATAACGACACCTTGATCATGCAAGGACAACATAGGTGGACTTGAGCTCTCCACACATGCTGACAGAGTCTGCCCACATGGTTTTCCTTGCAAGATCTGGGCCTTAGCCTCTGCAGCCATGTTACCAACCCTCTCAATTTAATCATGAATCTCATGGTAGTTGATGGTTTTACTTAAAGCCCAGTTCCTGGAATCCTGTGATTACATGAGAATCTCTGCTTTTGTTTTTAAAGAAATAAGTTCCTAGACCTCATGATTGTGGAGAAAAGTTTGGAAGTGTGACCTGAGTGCACCCTGAAAGCTTAGGAAGCAAAGAAAAAGAGTCCAAAATTTATTATTTTTTAAGTAGAGTCTCGCATACTCTGTTGCTTATGGTAGGCTGAGCTGTACGCCCAATAAGAGAGACCCGCATATTAAGCTGTAGTCCTGATTTGCCCCTCATATCAATGAGATTGAGCGCTACAGACCGACAGACAGAAATGCAATCAAGTTGAGTGGAGGGTCTTGCTTCACTCTGCCAAAAAACTCACGGATTTTTAAACTATTATGACTCTTTGGCGCCTAGTTCATGATATTTGAACTTTGGGAGTTGAGCAATGCTAACAGTTCAGACTTTTACTGAGTAAATTATGGATATATATAAGGAGGCGGGAAAGGCTGTACCTTGTTTCCAGTATCTCATCTGAGAGTCACAATTTCTTGTAAAAATCAGCAAAAAGTGGGAGGCTAAATTCAGTGTAGTCTCTCAAGTAGCCATTTGTAGATGAGTTCAGCTAAGCAAGTCTTTCTTCTAAAATGTTTTATGAAGACTTCTATAATTTGAGCAGAACATTTCTTGTGCTCTCAAATGAATGTAGAAGAAAGAGTGAGACAGATACATGATATCTATTGAGAAGGTATTGGATGTCTGCCAATTTCCCATTAAATACTAGCTCTTTAATGCTTGACCCAGAGTCAAGCAAGTCCCCCTACTTTTGTATCATTCAGATATATAAAAAAAACTTGTTTTATTAGGAAAATACATTGCATGAGATATATGTATTATGATGATACACTAGTTTGTGTGTATATGCAAAGCTGTCTATTGAAGCAAGTCTAGAAGATACACACAATAAACAAGCTCTGAAGTGCCTACGCATCTGAACATACTCATGTACACATTTCAAGCTGTTAGCTGGTAACGGTTTAAAGATCTGACACTCTAAAATGGGAAGAAAACGAAAATCAGTATCAGAATACGATTCAGAACACAGAGAAATTAAAGGAAGGTTAAAACAAAAACCGGAGAAAAGGATGAAGTTGAGAGTATGCTTTGCAAGTGATGTGGCCCAATTATGAAATGTAAATATTTATAGGCTGATAGTTCTAAGTTTGCAACAGTAAACTTTATTCAAATGAAAAGTTTTATTTGGGGATTGTTTTCTTAAACTCAGAGGTGGCATTGTGTTTTAAGTTTTGTTTTAGTTCTGCAGCAAACCATATTGAATTCCATTCATCAAAGTATTTAATCTACTGAATACTTCCCCCGTCCTTCCATCCACCAAAATAAACCCCGGCATTTACCCATAAAAAGTAATAATAGGGTTTTTTGCACCAATTTTCACCTGTTTTTGTTGTTGTAGTAATAAACACCGATAAATTCCTGGGAAAAATAAAAACTGAAAACGAAGGGCTCTGTGTATAACGGCTTGTTATATAGTATACTACTGAAAACATGGTCTAATCTCAGAGGTGAAAGAAACCATCTGTCATAACAAAGAAAAAAAAAGAGCAGACATGACTATATTTCATAGAGCAACAAAGTCTATAGGAAAACTCAGCAAAGGTGAACCATGTGGAAAAAGCACATCATGGGGATACAGACACAGTGTATTCTGAGGCTGCTCATTTCTCAGGCATGTTTAACAATTGTTCTTGTATAATTCATTGGATAAGGAATGCCTTATAAAATCAATGGGGAATTTGTTAGAAAGTACTAGAAATAATCTTGATAGGGAGGCTGGAGTACATTGAACAAGTATATGAACCTATGGAGAGGAAGAGAAAGTCCTATGGTCTTCATGCTTGTTGCATTCCTTCTCCAAACAATTTTGAGAGCTTTGTAAATGTCTTGAATCTATCACATTTTTTTGAGTATTGTTGTTACTCATTGACTAAAATGGGATTGGAATAAAGCAGTAATAAGTTTTGTAAAGGCTTTTAAAGCCTAGTGGGGAGCCTTCAATGACTGGATCTTTCCCAGAGGGAATAACAGGGAATAACAGTGGTGATTTGGGCCCAGAATATTAGCCTATCCAGTATTTCTTATCAAGCTTGAATAATTTAACAGAAGGTAGGATCCTCCTGAAACAGATCCCATTTCTGAGCAGAGAAAGCACTCTCAGCTTAGTATAAAAATTGATTCCAGCACTAAATTTCTTGGAGGTCACTGGTTATGTCACCCTGATTCCGCAGTATTGCTGTGCCCATGTGAACCCCCCTTGACTTCAGTGGAACTCTATACGGGCACTGCAGTCTGCCCACGTACAATGAATTGCAAAATTGGGGCCTTAGATGGCCTTCTTGCTTTATTTTGGGGGGAAGGAATATTCATCTTGGCCTGACTTTTTTTTTTTTTCTTTCTTCTTCTTCTTCCCAAAATGTGAACAAAATTGCTCAGTTATTTGAGTTTCATGGAAGTTAAAACTGTCTCTCTTCAAATAAATCATCTGAATTTTATGTACTAGTAACTGACTAAAAACATTTTAGGAGGAACTGATTACCCCTATGTTTAGGTTGTCCAACACTTTTCATTATAAAAGAATTTTGCGACCTGTTTTGAAGAGTTTTCACACCTCTGTTGTTTACAGCAGGCCTTTGAAATTTTGCACACCAAAAAACTACCTCAAACTAGGGTCTTATTTTTTTTTTTTGGTCCCATGAAATTGTTGTTTTGTTTTTTTTAAAGACCTTGATGGGCATTTCTTAAATAACAATAACTCATAATTTTGGCATCTCAGTAGCTATAGCTGTTTACCCGGATCATGGGTACCAGCATGGGAAGAAGCAGTTTTCACAGAGCTGTTACTTACCTCACCCTGTCTTGCCCACCTGTATGGATGATGAGTGCACTCTGCCCCAAAGTACCAGCAAGTGTTACTGTCATCATTCTGTGGGAAGTATGCTGTGCCAAGTATAGATCTGGTTCAGAGTACTTCCTAGTACTTTCCATGGGGAAACTGGAAGGCACATTATGTTTCTGAGCATCAGTTTCCGTCTTCTCCTTCAGGGATAGCACAGTTACGACCTGCACGTAGCTTGGGGCTTGGAGCAAAGCCACAATTAAGTCCATAGGAAGTGCGGTATGCCATCCTCCCCCCTCTCTAATAAAAACCAACATAAAAATTTTTGGAAGGCTTGCTCAGTTTCAGGCAGCTGAGGATGAAAAATTCCATTATTATTATGTAAAAACCTTCAAAATAATGTCTTGTGTGTTGGAACAACCTTAGCCAGTTCCCCATCAACAATTATAACAAAGTTTGGAGCATAGTCAAATATAATTCAAATATCTTAATTTGGATTAGAGTATTGCATTTTTACTGTCCTCTCCTCTATGTAACAGTCGCTTTATGCATATCCTCTATGCTCTGCATTTATGTGCACCCAGTCAACTGGGTTAACCATTAATCTGCTCCATTGCATATATAGACTGTTATATTCCTCCCCAGCCCACTGTAATCTTTTATCTAAATTATGCAGATTAGGTTCACTTAATCTTTCTTCATAAATCACACTGTAATACTTTTATAATTTTGTTTACCCATCTACAGATTCTCTCTTGTTTTTGTCTTTTTTTGTTAGCAAGTTGCTCTAAATAGCACCCAAGTACTTCTGAGTGCCAAGGAGTATGTATAGTTTCATATCCTAGTGTGTTTTAGATTTAATGGCGAAGATGATTGATTGTACTATGCTACAAAAGTACATTAATCAGATCCCATAGAGTGTAGTCTTTACCAAATTCATGTTTGTAATGAGACCCTAAAACCACTATAGAGGGGGGTTTTTCTGCCAGTTTAATCTCTAAAATCCTTTAATAGAAGAAAAAAGATCCTTTGTACAACATATCTGTGCAGTTAATGTTGTTCATATGTTACATGAGTGGAATTCGTTTTGTCTTACTAGAGGTCCTGGAGAATGCAGGTTCCCACACAGGTATACCAGCTGCACAGAGAGGTGAGTTTACTTAATTTAGCCATAAGCCAGAACAGGGTGGACATTCCTGGGCCACTGGTCCACACTTTGGATTTGTCTTCATTCACCCAGGAAGTGTTTACTGGTTGCCTAGGAACGCATGCTCTGCTATGGCTTATTGATATCAGAATATGTTTTTAAAAAATCACAAGAGATAGTTAAGATTATTTGCACTAATTAAGAGAGTCTTTCTGCATATAACTATATCTGCTAGAGAAGTAGTTCCTCAGAGAAAAGTTTTGTTATTTAATTCATTTTGGCTTACTTCAATATTAATTTGTATTCCTTTGTTTTTACAGAGTAATGTGCTAATGATCAGTTATTAAAAGGTCCTTGGATGCTTGCCAAACTGTTCTCAAGACCAGTTTCAGGGGTACTAACCTAAAAACAAGACCGTGTCATAGCAGAAAAACAACCCTTCAGTTGCCTTTTTTGGGGAAAAGTAATGCTTCAAAGTGAAAATACTTGCACGTTAAAAATTGAGAGGCTGTTCCAACTCATGACTTTTACCCTAACCCAAACCATATGTTTTCAGGCTGAAGGCAGGAGAAGTGATTGACAGTTACATCCAGGAACTTTAAATTCATGATCAACAGCTCCTTGTGAAAAAAAGAATAGGAATACAAATTAAGATTAAATAGAGCTAAAATAACATTAAGAAACTAAAACTAGTTACTTAAGGTGAGGAAGCTAGAACAAGGTGTGATGATTTTATGTACATGTGTTTCCAGTGACGAAGTCACAGTCGGTTGGTTCACAGCTGTGACATCACCAGTAATCAGTACACTGCTTTGGACAATATAGGATAGGGCTGGACATTTAACTTTTCCTTTAAACAGACGTGAAAGGGATATTCATTCTTCCTCAGATACAGAAAATTGCTTCATCAAAAGGAGCACTGAGGTGGGCAAGAGACGTCATCCATATTTTTTCTTTGTTTTTTCTTTTGTTTTTCTGTCTGTGTTTTCAGCAACGTCAGTTGATTACAGTTCCTTTGCAGACAGATGCAACAGCTGGATAGAGCTCATTAAACTGAAAGCTCAGACCATAAGGCGTGGATCAATTAAGACAAGTAGGCGTATGTTTCTACCACATTATGATAATCTGAGACATATCTCTGATTTCCCAGTGGTGGAGGGTGGAGTTTCCTACCCAGTAGTGGCATTGCAATTCGAAAGCACAACAAATATCCAAGCGCAAAAACTGCAGATGCTTTCTAGTATCTGTTTAAAAATAAATTAATTTAGGAATTATGAGTTAGTAGTTTAAATGCAGAATGCAGTCTTTCTATTCAAGTTGTTGCTTACTAAAAAACAGTTACCAATAAAGTATATAGCTATAAATAGGCATGTTAATTGTATTACATATATGCATACACTCTGTGGGTGTAGGTGTATGTATAAACTTGGAAATTTTTGGTGAGAAACAGATAGCAATCACGTAGGTGACAGTCAAACCAATTATCACTAAATTAGCAACTCGTGAGTTATTCTTCAGTAGTTCTTTGGTCGAAGATCTGTCTGTTTTACTTAAATTAGTCAAGATTAAGGTTATCTGAAAGTTGACAATGAAGAATTTTTTAATGGAAAATGCTGCACTGGGGAAACATGACAACTTTCACACTCTTCCTGTAGTAATTTGTTCCTCCAGCAGATATTTATTTCAAAATATTGGCACCTTTTTTCCTTTACCTTCACTGATAACTGATTGTTGTATGTGCAGCTGCTAGCCTCAATGTTTTCTTTTGCAGGAATGCCACTCTTCCAAATAAATTCCATTGCACCTTTTTGTCTTTTTGCATGCATTGCATGATAATTTCCTTTCTTTCATGACATGGCTGAACATCACAGGCAGCTGAATATAATCACCAAGCTATTTGGAAACCATAAAGAAGAGTTGTTTTGTTTTAAGAAGAAGTCACTGATCATACTCAATAGTTACTTTCTTTTCTTTTCTTTTCTTTCTTTTCCATCTTTTTTAGCTGCTTCTCTTGACAAAGCAAGTCCACTGGCTGAAGGACACTTGCGTCACCGTTCTGTTCCATCATGCACCAATTCTACTGTCTCAGTTGTTAAGATGACACCTCTTTCTTTTATACCTGGGGCAAAAATAACCAAGTATCTTGGGATAATCAACATGTTTTTTATTCGAGAAACCACTTCTTTACGTGAGGTGAGCTGCATATTAGGACTTTGCACTTTTTTGTGAATTGATAATAACAAAGCTAAATGAGTTTACTGTCTGAATTAACTGTATGGCACAGAAGAGAGCTGACTTTTCACAACTTAGGCACTGTGTGCTAAGTGACTGGGAGTCACATAAAGGTGATCCTCTTACTTGTTGTTCCTATGACATTTATAAAAAGGGCTGCTTCATCTTTATTCTTCAAATTGGTAGGAAGAAGTGTTACTCACCCATGTAGCCAGTAAAATAGCATTACATGGTCAGGGAGCTTACCAGTGGGTCCATTATCGTTGGTGGCCAGTTTGGTATAGGCTAAACACAGCACAGCATCCAGACAAAGCTAAAACCAGCAAACGAAAAAATGTATATCCCTTGGGGGGCGAGGTGGGGGATAGCTCAGTGGTTTGAGAATTGGCCTGCTAAACCCAGGGTTGTGAGTTCAATCCTTGAGGGGGCCATTTAGGGATCGGGGGCAAAAATCTGTCTGGGGATTGGTCCTGCTTGAGCAGGGGATTGGAGTAGATGACCTCCTGAGGTCCCTTCCAACCCTGATATTCTATGATTTCAGTGGCTATTGGAGCTCCTTTGGGCCCTAAAACTGAGATTTGCTCAAATGCTAAAAACTGATCCTTAGTTAAAGGAAAAGATCAATGGTAAGCTTTCAAAGCATGTATGGCTTTTGTGGTTCCTTACTTAGTCTTATGCAAGGATTCACAAATTACATATGGCCATTTGAACAAGCAGCATTCCAAGCCTTCCCAGCCACACATATCTGAGCTGCTTCAGGAATGCCATAAATGTTTGAAAAGTCTGCCACTGTGTATTAACCAGTGGAAGCAGCTTACTGTTAGTTGCTATCCTGTAGAAGCTTTGGACAGCCAAAAGACACATTTGAATCTTGCAATGTATGGCCTTGCAATTTACATATCTTTGAAAACTACATGTCATTTTTCAAAGTGATATATGATGTAACTTAATCTGTCACCCTAAGGTCTTAGTTTCTCTGTATTCTTCAGGACGAGGATCTTTTTTTTACTCTGTTTGCACAGTGCCTAACACAATATTGTCCTCGGATGGAATGTAATACAGTTAGATAATCATAATATATAAAAATGGTTGCTAATTATATCCACTCTTGTAAATTATTCTGAGCATATGTATAATATTTTCTGTTTATTATTTATTATGATGGTTTAGCAGTTCCTTTATGGAATATGGAGTGGTCCAAGGCCCTTTAACACTTTCAGAGGTGTTTGCAAAATTCTGTGTTTCAAAAAGTGAAGGGTGCCACATATCTGGTTTATCCTGTGTCTTTTAGATACTGCAGTCTACATGTAGATAAACAAAATCTTTTCCTTTCTCTTTGTATCATTAGATTATTATACCCACTTACTTGGATCATTATTCTATTGATCTTTTTGCACTGATGCTGTAATCTGTGTAGATTTAGATTTTGACAGGGTATGTCTGATGCAGATGATTAACTGGTGTCCATATTTTGGGTTTCTCACTGCAGTTGACTTTCTTTAGGGTTGTATGCATGGAAATATTGTGGAACAATAAAAATAATTTTGGCCTTTTATCAATTAATCATCATATATATTTCCTGTTTTATGGCTCCTAACCTCTTTACCAGTGGGTGATACCTCCTTCTATAGTAACTGGGGCGGTCAAAACTTGTTATTCAGGTATCTAAGATTAACTGTGCCCCTTTTGCTGCTTGCCAGCGGTGCAGAAACAAGTGTTCCTGCCTTTCATCTTCCATTCCTAGCTTTTGCAGCTATTTTGGCTCAAACACTTCAGTTTCTTTCCTCAGTCCTTTCTGTCTTCCTTCAGGGTGGCTGTTAGTGGAGACTCTCTTCTCCCCTCAGGAACCATATGTGGAGCAGTACACTTCAGTGTCCTCTCCACTCCTCCTCCCAATTTAGCTGGCATGGCACAGCAGATAAACAAGCAAAAAAACCACCTTACGTTTTTCTCTCCATGTGAGAAATCCTATTGGGGTCAACAGAAGGAAAGCTCTGTCACAACTGTGCTCAGGGACCTCATTCAGCCAGGGGTAGAACAGAGAGCACAGCTTCTGTGTCTGGTTTTCTTTCCACCACATGCAGGAGAGACTGTGGAAAAAGCAGGCTGTCATCAGCAGGCGTTGGACCACTGTGACAAAAATGGGGCTGTAACTGGAGTTCTTTAAGATGATTACACAGATCCACATGACTCCTCTTAGTTCCTGTTTCTTCAGGAATTTGAGTCAGTGGAAAGAATTGAGAGGCTGGCCTTGCCTGCAGCTCCACATATTGTTTCAGATCAGAAAAATCCAGTCCCCTGAAGAGTATGCCCACAATTCCAAACAGCCAGTTTTCTAGGGGGTCCCAACAAAAATGTGGAGGAGTGTCTTAAGTGTGTGGGTATATACAGGTGATGATTTTGAAGAATTCTAGTTACAGGTAAATAACCTCTTTATTCTATTCTTTTTATTCATGTAGCAGGATTTTTTTCATTTGTTTTTCAGCAAATGCTCATTCACCCATAAGCAGGTGATGCATAACTCTCAGAACAAGTTCAGTCTTTATATTTTATAGGTCACTTTCTACAGAACAAGTTGTTGCTCCTCTAAAATATATACCAATCAGCATTCATTGGAAGAGAATCATTTTAAAGGAGAGAAACATAAGTAAGATATCCAGTGCTATTTTTAGTGACAGTTACATAAAATCCACTTCTTTGTTTTTTCTTTTTAGGAGGGCGGTGTCAGTGGCTTTCTCCATGCTTTCATTGCTGAAGTGTTTGCAATGGTGAGGGCTCACGTTGCAGCTTTAGGGGGGAATGCAGTTGTCTCGTACATAATGAAACAGTGTGTTTTCATGGAGAACCCCAACAAAAATCAGGTAAATTGTGATTGAAATGACAATTTTTCTGACAATTAAAGAACCAGCTGATGTCATATGTAACCAATCTTAGAGGAAAATACCCATGTAGGATGAGGTTATTCTAATCAGTCCACATAACTACAAGGAGGAGTAAGTCTCTTTTTTTTTTTTTAATATAGTTATGCGGACTGGGGAGAGATCTAGTGGGCATAATCTGACCCAGTGGGAGGTATTTGATTTGTTTGGGGGTTTTTTATTTTTATTTTAGAATTAGAGTTAACATATCAGAATGATATAGCAACAACATAGGTGAATGAATTTCATTGATTTTAGTGTTAAGTCCAAAGGCTGAAAATATGCTCCATAAAGGATATATTTAATTATTTAATAATTATCTGTCCTCGCAGGCACAGTGTCTAATAAATGTCAGTGGGGATGCAGTGATCGTTGTACGTGAATCTGAATTAGAAATGGTACCAATGCAACCATCTGCTGCTGTCTCTCAACCCGCAAGTGCTGGAGATGTCACGACATGAAACCAGAAGAAATGGAATGGCTCTGCCCGAAGTAAAAAGATCTCTGCAAAATGTGGGAATGTTTAGCTTTACCTCTTCAAAAATCAGTAATTCTCCAAAATATTACAGTCAGCTAAATCTGAGACAATCACTAACCTTTGTCCATCAACTTACATAATAGCCAGGGCAACATTTTATTGGCAAGTACCCTGTAATTCCATTTTTTTAATCACTGGCCCCGTGAAATCTAAGACAGATGAGGCATTGATCTAAAGGAATTCCATAGAGCACCTGAAATAAAACAGGAACTTACCTGTGTTTTTTCTTTATGTAGTTGTTTGACAGGGCCAGAACAAATAATAACTCAAACAGTATCTGAGTCTGATAATGCTTGTTCATGTTAATTTACTCTTAGTTAATTTAAGAAACAAAAACTGGAAGATAATCAAGAAACTGGAATCAGCTGCCTTTGAATGAGCAAGAGATCATGAACCGGTTTAAAAAAATATTACCAAATAAGCAATCGTCTGATATTAAGTCTGTAACGAGCGTTAGCTCATGGAACTTTGAGAGCAAAAAAGCACCAGAAATGACTGTCTGAATTTAGCAGCATGCTAAAATGTTTTTCAACTGTTTGTGAACTAGTGAATATTTTTATTGTACAACATATTTTTTTATTTTAAATGTTCGTTATTGTTGCTGCATTGTAAGCATAACTATGGTAAAACAAAATAAATTATTATATCTGGTTCAGGTATTATAAGTTCATTTCAATATTAACATTTGTACAATGTTTTTTTTTATTTTTTCAGAGAGTCTGCAAAATAATGTCTTAAACTACTGAAGTCCAGTTTTTTAGGGCATGATCTTGCAATATCGATATAGACAAAGTCAGAGAGACAGTCACCTGCATATTTGGATGCAGAATCAGGCCCTCTGTATTTTGCTATTTGGAAATGCCTGGCTAACTTGAGTAAAAGAACAGTTAAAATATTTTAACTGACATTAACTTCTGCAAGTCAGGTTTCCTTTCAAATACAATAATTGGGAGATGATGGGTATTGCAGGAAAAGGAAACAATACAAATCTTTTGAAGACTTTGGTAGAATAATATAAAGACTGACTCTTTAGATTTGAAGACACGTTCATGGAAATGTGTTGACAACATCTAATATGGAACTTGAATAAATGTGTAAACTTGAATGTAAATATTCTGTGTAGTCAGACCCAAATATCCCATTGTATATGAGCATGAAAATCATATTCCTCTTTGTACAATAAATTTCTGTATAAAACCACTGGATTTTGTTTGTTTGTTGTATATCAGCACATAATATCTACATGCTGAAGCTTTTGGAATGGCATGGCAGATCATAGAATATCAAGGTTGGAAGGGACCTCAGGCGGTCATCTAGTCCAACCCCCTGCTCAAAACAGGACTAATCCCCAGACAGATTTTTGCCCACAGATGGCTCAAGGATTGAACTCATAACCTGGGGGTTAGCAGGCCAATGCTCAAACCACTGAGCTATAAAGAACGGTAGAGATTAGTAATCTCTTTAACAAGTTTTTGAATTGGGTGCCCTTAATGGGGAGTTTGTTCATCAAGCCTAATTACATTATACTGTGGCAGTGATCAGTAAAGCTTCTCTTATTTGGGTATGTCTACACTTGCAGAGTTTTTGCGCTGTAAGTTTCACCAGTGATAGGGAACCGGTGAAAGTAAAGCGCTGGTTTGTGTATTCACTTAATTCCTCAGGCGTCGGAGAGCGTTTACATTAACAGCACTTCCATTGCCAAGAGAGCAGCCCTCTAGGGCAGCTATCCCACAGTGCAGCTCTCTCCAGTTTGACGATGGGTCTTGTGGGAAGGGGAAGGGGTGATAGCAGGGCATCCTGGGTCCCTGCACAGCCTCCTCTCCCCAAACACTGATAAGCTCCAGTAGCTCAGCATTGCTCCAAGCAGGGGATCGCTTGCTCCCTGGTGCAGGCATTGTCACCTGGCCAGATAAGTGAGCACTTGCCAAGAAAACAGGAAGGGGAGTTTCAAAGTTCCCGGGGCTTTACAGAGGGAGGGGCGTATGTCCGTTTACCCGGCAACAGAGCAGCAGAGCTGCTGGCTAGAGTGTTCACCTAGCCACTGTGGAATATCCTCCGGAGGCTAAAAGCTGTGTAAACAGGAAGACGTGTCTTCACTTGCACATCACTGTAAAAGCATCACTGGCAAGAGTTGTATGCCTCTCGTGGAGGTGATTTTCTTTTTGCGGTGAAACTTCTGAGTTTCACTGCAAAAAGTCATTGGCAAGTGTAGATGCTCCCATGGTTTTTGCACAAAAAAGGGACTTTTTCCGCTTTAAATGGCAAGTGTAGACATGCTCTTAACGTCTAGAGCAGTGATACTCAGACTCCAGTGATTCAGGAGCCAAATTAGTGATCAACATTACCCAAAAGAGCCACAGTAGTGTGAATTCATTGTTTCATTTACTATTTATGTAGATATAATTAGTTTCACAGCAAAATGACTGACCAAGTATTATTTTATCAATTACAATTGATTAATAACCTAGTAAAAGCACCCTGATTGGTTAATAATTAAATCTCACAGTGATTTAATGTGTGCTGCAAAGAGTTACAGGAGACGCATTAAACTAGTGGATAGTAAAATGAAAGTGGCCTCTACTCATTTGATTGGTTGTGAGTGAACCAGAAGTTGACTTGTGCCAATTTGCTCCTCCATATGAGTACAATTGATTGGAATATTTCGATTTTCAAATATGATTTAGCTGGATATTTTTATAAGGTGTAATATGTATGGCTGCATCTACTCTAGAGGTCAAATCATGCCACAAGGAAGATGTAAACATTTCCAAATCCCAGTCTCTGTTATAGCCCAGGCATTGCTCCCAACAAGGCTATTCAGCGTCACAGCGTAATTTTGCATATAACAAAGCATGGTTTTATCGTACAAGACAAACTGGAAAAAGGTTAAATCTTGATCCACAACCAGTTTAAAAAAGTCATTTTACAGTTGTAGGATTCTCTAAATGTTATTCTGAAAACTTCAAGATGAGAAGAAACAATGTTATTTCAAGAAGAGAAAATTTTTTCACATTGTATGAACATTTTAGAATAGAAAAAAATTATTTTCTTCAATTGAAGTGGAAAGATGGTATCTCAACTGTCCCCATGGGCATCTCACCAAATCCGAATGGCTATCCCAATGAGCTACTTATATGACAAAATATTTCTGTTAAAAATTGATTAGATAGGAGATTGGTAGTGACAGATGAAGCCTTTTACATATAGATCATTGGTTAGAGTCCATATTGTCTGTGATCCGGTGTGCCTGGGGTAGCCTTCACTGGAAGTGCCAAGGTTAGGGTAGGCTGCAAAAGGGAGAGCAGATACTGGTGGGTAACACTGAAAACTCCCCAACCAGTCACCAACTGTGCTGCTGATCTCCCCCCTAGTTATCAAGAAGCAAAAAAAGAAATCACACAGCCCCCTTTATTGCATTCCAGTTCTCTGGCTCCCAATCAGCACCTAGGTCCAGTACAGTGAAGTTATTTTAAAAAACTGTGCTCACCTGTACAAAATGTTCTTTGACCCCAAAGAGTCAGCCATGTTACAGTGCCAGGTCTGTATAGGTTTGGATCTTACCCAAAATACCACGTTGCCAGCCAATCCTTTAGTATCTAAAACTAAAGGTTTATTATAAAGAAAAAAGAAGAAGAAGAGAGATGTTAAATGGTAAAGCAGCCATATACATACAAAGACTTCAAAGTCCATATATCAGTCTAGCAGTATTGGTGAGTTTGCTGGTTTGAAAGTCCCTCTGGAACACATACACAGCTTGGATGGGTCATTCAGTCCTTTGTTCAGAGCTTCAGTCTGTAGAAAAGTTACTCGAGGAAAGAAGCAGGATGGAAGACAAAATGGAGAAGATACAGCTGCCTTTTATAGTCTTTTGCCATGTGTCTTGTGCTTCCTTTGTCTCAAACACACGCTGTCCAGCACATGGCTTGGAAACCATAGAGTTCTGTCCACAGGCAGCCCCTGCATGCCTTGCTAAGTCATAAGGTGTATCCCTTGCCTTCTGTCAATAGGTCAGTTGTATAGCTGATGGTCCTTAATGGGCCATCAAGCAGGCTAGGCAGTGCTGATGCCAAACTGTCTGGGGGGTGTCACCTAGAAGCATAGCACAAGTTTTGAAATACAGACATACATACATATCTATAACCCATGATACAAACATATAAGCAAGATAATCATATCTGGCAATTTATAACATTTTTGCTGTATCTTACATGGCCTGACTGGCACAACTCATTGCAATTTTACAATATTGATAAGCATAATATCCACAAGTGTCCCCCAGATTCCATACAGTGTCCTCCATCCAGTTTGGCAGACAGACTAGGCCAAGTGGCCAGAGAACTATCCTTTCTTCTCAAATTGGTCCTTCCAGGGTTGTGAGGAACTCTGGCATACAATGTTGACAAGTTGTCCCAGAAGATTGGTAATTCATATCCCCCATTTTTATCTTCATTGAATCTTCCACCTACCCCATTATGTCTGGAATCTCTTTCCTGACATTCTCTATCATGCCTCCAAGCTCTCGCTGGAGTCCCTCCACCCAAGTCCAACTTTTATCATAATGATTAGAAATCCTAATCTTTTGACAAAGAGAATAAATAAATGTAAATTTTTAAAAAATTTCAAGAAAAATAGTGAAACTTCTATGCTATGTACTAATCATAGAATCATAGAAGATTAGGGTTGGAAGAGACCTCAGGAGGTCATCTAGTCCAACCCCCTGCTCAAAGCAGGACCAACCCCAATTAAATCATCCCAGCCGGGTTTTGTCAAGCCGGGCCTTAAAAACCTCTAAGGATGGAGATTCCACCCTCTCCCTAGGTAACCCATTCCAGTGCTTCACCACCCTCCTAGTGAAATAGTTTTTCCTAATAGCCAACCTAGTCCTCCCCCACTGAAACTTGAGACCATTGCTCCTTATTCTGTCATCTGCCACCACTGAGAACAGCCTAGCTCCATCCTCTTTGGAAGCCCCCTTCAGTTAGTTGAAGGCTGCTATCAAATCCCCCTCACTCTTCTCTTCTGCAGACTAAATAAACCCAGTTCCCTCAGCCTCTCCTCATAAGTCACGTCCCAGCCCCCTAATCATTTTCATTTGCCCTCTGCTGGACTCTCTCCAATTTATCCACATCCTTTCTGTAGTAGGAGGCCCAAAACTGTATGCAATACTCCAGATATGGCCTCACCAGTGCCGAATAGAGGGGAATAATCACTTCCCTCTGATGGGATCGGGATGATGAAGTGGGATTCCCTCCCACTTCACTGATGAATCATACTTTTTCATTATACTTCATTCTCTATTTGTCTGTTCATTTAGTTTGTAAGGTCTTTAGGGTGGGGACCCTGTCTTCTCCATATTAATTAAAAGCCTCATGTAGTGTTAGCACTATATAATGGAACAGTGTGGGGAAGCTGACTCTAAGAATGCACTGTTGATAAATAGAGATATTCATTTTAGTGCTATCAAACTGACATTTTTCATAAGCAAAAAATAAACTATCAACATTCTTATGGTCAATATATATAGTCTATAAATAGAATATTTCTGATCGTTTGGACTAATATTTTAACATCAAAGAACATTATTTTATAGAAAATACATGGAAAGACTGTGTGTATAATAACCTAATTTAAATACTAAAATAGATTTTTCTATATCAAAATGATTTTTCCATATCAATATACAGAGCCGAGAAGCAAGCCACAGTAATTGATTTACCTAAAATGTTCTATCTGTCCATCAGCTGATTTTCCTTGCTGCAAGTTGTAATATGAAAAGAGTTTTAGTGATGGCATTCTTGTTTCATCCATTTTTGGAGATGAAATGAATTCTGGCAACTGTGCAAAATTTCCTTTTATTTGAAAACCTGAATCATTTCAGTTGGGGTTATAGAATTTGACTTCCTTTTTACATCTTGAATTGTTGTGCAGTTGAAGGTAAAATTAAAAGTTTAGTGAAATGTGAACTCTGCTTTACTTTTCCAAAACAAGAATAAATCCAGCAAGGATTTTGACTTATTTTTAGACAATCCTTGTTCTGTGTTTGATACACTGCCCAGCAATTCACTTGCAGTTATCTATTCCCCTTTTGCTTGTCGACATTATGCAATTTCTCCTCTTCAAGCATGAACAACTTTTTAACTAAATTGAACTAGATAGTGTGATGCGGTTCACAGCCCCCACAGGAGACTAAGGAAGGA